CTCATTTGTGACATGTTTAGTCCTCTCTTGAACTTTGAGTAATATCTGCATGGCCAGTTTTCCCAAGCACCCTCAGCAATCGCTCTTTCTTAGGAAATAAACTCTATACTTTCAAAAATGTTCACAAAACATTCTACTTGTTTGTCTGTCTTAGAAGCTGATTCTCTCATATTGGGTATTAGCTCCTGAAGACCCTCTCAATGGAAAGTAATCATTCTCCCACCATTCCAGTAATTCATGTAAAAAACTCGTACTTGCATATACCTGCTTAATATTGATCTTGTTCAATATTATATCCCCATTTACATCTTCGCTTTCCAAGTCCAATTTTTTTCACATGGTCATAAATGTCTGAAGATAAAATATTCTAATAGAAATTGATTAAGAACACTATTTCTTCCCAGCCCAACTTCTCTTGGGTCATGCTTCTATGCACAGTGATGCTGGAGGGGCTGGAGAGTCTTTGTGAGACCTGTTTAAGGGGAAGTTCCCACAAAATATGGGCATTAACAGAGATAAAAATAAAACTCCTCATTTGGATCTATAACAAAGACATCATCAAGGCACTGGCTAGTTAATGTTTGCAATTTAAATATCTAAGTTTCTACACAAGAAAACTTGAAATGTCCTGAAATCCTAGAAATATCAAGAGTTAATAGGGACTTTCTCAATTCGACACTTTAAACTTAATGTGATATTATTAGCTGGGTATAAACAAAACAAAATAAAACTTTATAGTGTATTTAGAGAGTGCCAAATAATGTTAATTAGCACATGTATTACATTTTGGGTAGTGAGAACACTTGATATCTACTGTCTTAGAAATTTCAAGTATATAATATGTTATTATTTACTATAATTATTATGATTCACAGTAGAGCTCTTGAATTTATTTCTCTTGTCTAACTGAAATTGTGGATCCTTTGACCAACATCTATAATTCTGCCACCTCTAGTCTCTGTTAAACTTTATGAGTTTGACATTTTTAGATTCCACATAATAGATCAGATCATGTGGTATTTATCTTTCTGTGCTTGGCTTATTTCATTTAGCACAATGTCTTCCAGGTTAATCCATGTAGTTGCCAATGACAGTATTTCCTTCTCTCTTAAGGCTGCATTGTGTTTGTGTGTGTATGTGTGCATTGTGTTTATGTGTGTATGTGTGTGTGCTACACACACCTACACATTTATAACACATTTTTTAAAAGTCTATTCATTTATCAGTGGACACTCAGGTTAATTCCATACTTTGGCTATTGTAAATAATGTTCCATGAACATGGGAGGGCATATATGCTTTTGATATACTGATTTCATTTCCTTTGGATATATACTCAGTACTTGGGTTGGTGGATTTTATGTTAGTTCTATTTCTAGGTTTTTTTTTGTACCAGGGATTGAACCTTAGGGGTGTTTTACCTCAAGCCACATCCCCAGCCCTTTTATATATTTTATTTTGAGTCAGAGTCTCACTGGGTTGCTCAGTGAGAACACTAAGAGTCTCACTGGGTTGCTCAGTGCCTCTCTAAGTTCCTGAGTCTGGCTTTGAATTCACAATCCTCCTGCCTCAGCCTCCAGAGCACCTGGGATTACAGGCATGTGCCATCATGCTCTATTTCTAGTTTTTGGAGGAACTTCACAAATTTCCATAATGGCTGTGCTTGTTTACATTTTCACCAACAATGCACAAGATTGTAAGATAGTTCCCAAGGTGTGATATTTTTTTGCCTACCTTTTTTCCTCCTTTTCTGGCTCCTTGGAGAATAATCATCCTCTCACTCTTAGTCCATTGATTCCTATAAGCCAAGATTCTCTGCCTTCAGGGATAGGAAGAATCCCAGGCTTAACTGGTTAGAGATTTTTACCTCTCTGATCAAAATAATAATTTGTTCTCAGGACATTAGGCATACTTTTCAACAGCTTTTTATTGATGTTTTATGTTAGAAAGTTGTACAACTTTTGTTATTTTTCTAACTTTTCTTTGAGAGATCTTGCTGCTTTTTTTAAAAAAAGTCACTTTTATTGAGATAAAATTTACACTTTATTACTTTTTTCAGCCTCTCATGGTCTCTGAGGCCATCATTTTTTTTTTTTCTTTCTGCAGGTAGAGTTAGCTCCTATGTTCAGTTTGGCCTTCCTCCCTTGGGTCAGTTTGAGAATCTTTAAGTTCATGATGATTAGGGTCTACATTTTCTTGCCACCTACACAGATCTGGTTGCTAGGATCTCTCAAGCAGGGATCAATAAGAACCTGTACAAGACACAGCAGATTCTCTCTTTCAGGGCAGGACTGAGCAAACAGTTTTTCCTGGTCATGAAAGAGTTCTATGCCCTGCACTGGTTCCTCTCCAGAGCCACAGTATTCAGGCCTCCCCAGAACTCCAGCAGGTCAATGGGCCTGCCATTCTCTGAGGAACCTCATGTTTATGATCCCATCCTTTTTCTCCTCAATGGTGAAATCCCAGTTTTCCCTCCAGCTCTTGAGGAGAGATGAGCCGATTCCTCTCTTGTTTGGTGTGTTCCATCTCTTGTTTGGTGTATTTGGCATTAAAGCATGCAATTGAGTACCTAAGTTGTAGCATGAACTTTTACTGGAATTTCCCCTTCCTGGCCCAGCCATGTCTTTTCTAATCTGATGGGTTATCAGAACCGAGAAGAAGCTGGGCGAGAGGATGTCCTAAAATTTCAAAACTTCCACCATCTTGAATCCCAGGTAAATTTTTAACCACTTATCTTAATACATAAAATCCTTTACTATTTAATGTATGTTGTTAACCTCTCTTGGCACTGTCTCAAGTGAATCTCTTTAGTTGAGCATACCAAATGACTCTGCATTCCAGAACTAAGCAAGCTCTTGTAGAACTCTGTGCCATTGAATAGATCCTGCAATCTAAAATAGTTTCCTCACCTTCACTCCTCAAACATCCACTCCTCATTCATTTTTTTTTTTTTTGCCCATGTATTATTCACCATTTCCTCCTCTTAGAAGTCTTCTTTGGGATTCCATCATTCATTCCCCATCTTAACATTTTGGTTATATTTAAATTTATATTATATTTATATTTTCATAAGACCATAAAAGTGAGGCAAAAACATTGTAGAAATTTTGTGTAAGACAAACTCAAGTTTTAGAAGGTTGTCATTTGGAAATGTCTCATTGTATGTGATAGAAAACACAATCTGATGTAGCACAACTAAGAAGCAAATTAATCGGTTTTATAAATGAAAAGTCCTGAGGTAAGATTGGAATGTCAGGGAGGAAATGAAATGTGTAGTTGATGGGCCATTTGGAGTGACTCAAGATTCCTATCTTCCCACTGCCAAATGTTAAGGGATTCCAGACATTTCCACCAACTCTTTTTTAATGAGAGCATATGTGAGATAAGCTGAAAAATAAAGCGAGAAAGACAAGTTTTGGAGGGAAAAGTGAGAGAAAGAAGAAGAAGAGGAGGAGGAGGAGGAGAAGGAGAAGGGGGTTGGGGGAAGGAAGAGGGAGAACATATTGTGGGACACTTTCATATTTGACTCAATAGCTATCCCTACTTTCTAATTGCTAACCTAGAACAATACCTCTAGTTCTCCTTTTCTTCCAGACCTGAAGTTGTTGATTAAAGAAGTAGCACAGTATTGCATCTTAATTTCCTTTCATTGGGTTTTATTGTTAGTATTTTCTCCAAATTCCAAGCTCTTTTTCTCTTATGGAATTACTGGTAGTTGGCCCTTTTTTCTTAGAATGAGAAGTATTTTTGTTTTAGCAACTCTAGGCTAAATACGGTACTTTTTATAAAGTTAAACCAAAATGTGAAGAGGTAGGGGATAGTCAGCCTTCTAGTGCTAACTTAGTTCCAAGACCTGCCTTAAATGCCAGCACTTACAAACCAGATTGCTGACTCTCATCATGTTTATATGACATTCTAGAGCAGCCTCTGCCACCGACTCCACTGCAGTCACTTTTATTGCATTCAGACTAAGAAATATGGACATAATTACCCTAAGTACATGTATGAAGACACAACTGGTGTGACTCTACTTTGTGTATAGAGACATGAAAAATTGTGCTCTGTATGTGTACTATGAATTGAAATGCATTCTGCTGTCATGTATAACAAATTATAATAAATAAACAAACAAACAACAACAACAAAAAGAAATACACTACCAATAAACAAGCAATCCAGATGGTTTTTGAAGAAGGTCCTTGGTAGAATTCTCACCTATTTTAATCATGGCTAAAATGTGTCTTGTACTACTTGAGAAATATTTTATGTATGATTACAAAGGTCATTTTAAAAATAAATTTAATTTAATTTAAAATGTAAAAGTTCAACAGTAAAAATGAGTGATATTGGAACTAGACTGTTAGGCCCCATAATGTGAATAATGATCTGTCCTCAAGTATAGGCATTTCTACTGCCACCTCTTTCCTGTTTGTAACTTGTATAGTACTTTACACCAAATCAGATGTCCAACATTAAATTGATAGACTCAAATGGATTTGTCAGAACCTAACATAGTAGTTGCTTAATGCCAGGGACCAACTACAGACAAGATCACGTTAACGAACCTGTTCCAATTCATGTTTTGTTCATATTTAAATCACCAGTGGTCCTTTAGAAAGGTCTATAAAAATTTTCTATGTGCATGTAACATACAAACTATATAGACAGAAATATCTATGAGGAATTAATAATTAAAAATTATTTCTTACTTGATCATTGAAGGAGCACACTTGATTTTTTTTTCCACTCTAAGAAATTATACCTGAGAGATAGACTAGGGTCCAGTTAATGGGAAATGGATAGGTTCATGAATTAGCCAAGTCACTGTAACATTAATTGAACATACATTTGAACTAATGAGTAATTTTCTCCCATTTAGGAAAAAAATGCCAGATTTTTTGGTTGAATAAATAGAACTATTAAATTATTTCATTTGGCCTCAATCGTGGATTATATCTTGATGTTGTAAGATGGTCCTAATCATTCTGGTCTTCTTCACAGGGTTGGCCTTTGCTATTCTCTCATCTGTGCACCCAGTGTTTGGTTTATATGGGTCTCTGTTTCCTGCCATCATCTATGCCATATTTGGAATGGGACGACATGTTGCCACAGGTAATAATTCCTGCCTATGCTTATGCTTCTCATGTTAGTGATAAAGGAGACTCAGAGTGATTGTTCCATACTGATTACATTTCCAAAACAATTCTAACTTCACTGTTGGAAAATATCAGCAAATATTGCTTCTATATATTTCTGTGTTTGGGATAGTCAGTGCACACTGTGATTTATTGCTATCTTACTGTGTAACCAAGGTTATTGCGAAGGATTCTTTGCATTTTTAAGTTGTAAAAAGACCATGAAAAAGCTGGGCACAGTGGTGCACACCTGTAATTCCAGTGGCTTGGGAGGTTGAGGCAAAAGGATTGCAAGTTAAAAACCAGCCTCAACAATTTAGTGAGGAACTTAGTGAGACCCTGTCTCAAAAAATAAGGAAAAGGGCTGAGGATGCAGTTCAGTGGTTAAGGGCCTCTGGGTTCAATCCCCAGTACCAATTAAAAAATAAAGACCATGAAAGAGGGGGAGGGTTTACAATGAGATAAGAGGAAGTAAGAACTTGAAGGAAAACACAAAGACTATAAAATTTAGTAATTCAAATACTGAAAAAATGTCTTACACATGTGTTTGATATTTGGGCTAAATGATCTTCTAGGTTTCTTCCAGGCTAGATTCTGTAATACCCTTTAATTGGTATGTATCTTGCCTTAAAACATGAGCAGTCATGATTATTCTGCTACTACAGAAGGCTGGTTTGGTGTTAGTTAAACTTGGGCATAGGTCTCCTTTTTTGTTTGCTATCTATGTGATCTGGACAAAATTTTAAAGCTAGCTCTATTTGCTTCTTCCTTAATAGTAAGATGCCCTCCTGCTGAATTTCATATAATCATACTGAGAACTAGATAATTGATGAACAGTGTCTAATTTAGTACTTGCTTCATAAAGTTTAATAAAGTTAGCTGTTATTAAAAATGACACTTTAATCTTAAATACTAATAAAGTACTTTAAAATGGAAATATATACACATTTCTATATATTTTCTGTGTGTCAGATCTTAGCCTCTAATCATTTTGCAACCATATCTTCAGGGATCACTTTGTGTTATCGATTGTAGTAGTTTCCTAATGCTGATGTAACAAATTAGCATGAGTTTAGTGGCTTAAAACAAAACAAAGTTATTGTTCAGTTCTGGAAATCAGTAATCTGAAATGAGTATCACAGGACTAAAATTGAGTCAGCAGGGCTTCATTCCTTTCTGGAAGCTCTTAGGAGGGAATGCATATTCTTGACTTGCCTGTCTTCTAGATGTTTCCTACATCTTCAAGGCAGCATTGTGGCATCTTCAAATCTCTCTCTGACTCTCATCTTTTTCCTCCATCTTCCATATTTAAAGAACCTTGTGATTACATTGGATATACATAGACAATCCAGGGTAATCCTCTTAAATTAAGATCAACTGATTATCAAACTTTAATTCATCTGTAACATGAATTATTCCTTGCCAAGGAACATAGCATGTTCACAGGTTCTAGGGATTAGCATGTAGACATATTTGGGGGACATAGTTTTGCTTACCATATTGACACATAAAATTTTTCATAAAATATTTTGTGTGTAATGTTTGGTTTTTTATATCCATAACTTTGTTATGGGGAAGGATTGACAGCAAACCATCATTTAAAGTATTGCTACCTAAACTCTTCTCTGTGAATCTGCATTGCATGGGAGTTTGTTAGAAACACAAAACCTTGGTTTCTACCTCAGACCTACTGAAATACAATCAGCATTTTCACAAAATCACCAAGTTTTACATACATGCATATGCATAGTCAAGAGCCACATAATGAAATTTTAGTCAACAATAAATGACATAGAAGAACATGATCCCATAATAAGAACCTAGTGACACCATAGCTATCTTAGTTTGAGTAAGTACAATTATGAATGATGGTATTTGCCCGAGAGAAATTGCTTACAATGCATTTCTTATAATGAATCCCTGTTATATATATACCTGTATATAAAATATCAACATTATATATATATATATATATATATATATGTATATATATATATATATGTATATATATAATATATACATATATATATATATATGTATGCATATGCATGCATCTTTATGTATACATAAGTTTCAAAACCATTCATATACTATTCATTAGGTACTTTATTAAGAGCATTACATGTTACTTTGTCCTATTTCTTACCTATTAAGTGGGCATTATTATCTGCATATTTCAGATTAAAAAGAAAATAAAAACAACCACAAACTCTGAAATTCAGAAAACTTCCTGGGAGGGCACAAATTAAAGTCAGAGGTGCATGGTTTACAATTCAGAGGTGGCCAAATATAAAGCCTAAGTTTTTTTCTTTTTTCATTTCTTGACAATGTGGTATTTTAGAATGAACTTTTCTTTTATATTAATGCAAAAGAAGAACACAATAATGAATTAGACATTCGTAAAGCTTATTAGTTAATTATCCTGCTTTTTCATTTCTGAATAGTTTATTTTCATTTTTGAAAGATTTTAATATGTTCTTAGAAAAAACTGACTGGCTTATAGATTCAGAATGGACCTCACAGAATTCCCTCTGTTTAACACAAGAAAAGGCAAAACAAAGTTTACCAATAGGCCATAATTACATTACGAAGTAAAAAATGTACAGTTTGATAATATGTACATGTACCTTTACATAAACCATTTTATTACCTAGGTAATCACTGAAGACATTTGTTGGTTGAGTAGTTTTGAAATTACCATTTATATAAGACCTCAACTAACAAATTATTTAATAAATTATTAACAGCTGTAGGAAACTTATGGTCTATAAGGTAAAAAATAGATATAATTTCTGTGACAAGAAATAATCAATTAACTTATTCCTTTGGCTATAAAAGGAAAAGATGGAAACATGGGTAAGAATCCAATGGAAACAGAACTAAGGAAGACAACCAATATGTGACAATTCAGATTTACTTGTCTTTAAATTGGACAATTTTTTGGTACATGAGGAAGGGCCATCTAAATGGCTTTTCTGGGAGAAGAAAAATGAACAACTTAGAGAAAACTTAGGAAGATAATATAAGAAATAAAAATAAACAATCATTTTGCTTTGTGGTCCAGGAGATTTAAAGATTTAAAGCAACATCTGATTCACTTTCAGGACAATCCTGCTGTAACACATCCTGAAAAATATATCTTATCAAGATAAGATTCTATAGTGAATGTTCCTTCCTTAATAGTCCCTATCCTGGGTGCTAGAATCTTATCTCTCATCATCAGATATATTCATTCCCGGATGCATTCTTAATTTAGTTTTTTTTTTGTTGAGGACAATAATCAAGATGATTTATTTATGATTTATTGAGGATGACTTTGCTCACTAAAAGAACTCTTCAATTTTCCGTATATGTTTATGGACCATCAACTCTAAGAGTAAAGAATAACAGACCATAAGAGAGCAATTTGATCTTAATCTTACTAAGAATTGTCTGCCTAACATTTATTAGGAGCTAACCACATGCGATTAGATGTTTGCTATTTGATATGTGCTGTATTTTATTATCCCATTTTTAGCTTCATAACAACCCCATTGGGTGAGAAATGCCATCTGTTTACAGATAAGGAGGTTGAAGGGTGACAGTTCTGGGACTTAAGGCCACCTTCATTAGAATCTATAATCACCACATTGTTCTAAATCCACAGCACATCCTGCCCTTCTTATTTAAAGCCTCTTATCCATTGAGACAAGAAGATTGTGTGTGTGTGTGTGTGTGTGTGTGTGTGTGTGTGTGTGTGTAGGGAGGTATGTTCCATTGAGACTCATATCTGTTGGAGTCCTGTTTTGCTTGCCCTGTGCTACTCCATGCTTTGTGTTCTATGGACATCTTGCCAAGTCCATTTTTTGCAGTCTCCGTTATAACCTGGAGCAAAATAAGACTGTAAGTAGTGATTTTGGGGGGGATGTTTGCTCAGTGCAGCAGTGTTTGTTTGTTTTTTAACCCAAGTTTTCTGAGCCTTTCTGTGGGAATGAGCATTTCCCCATCCAAGCGGCAGCATTTCAGGCAGTCTTTACCAAGATGACAGGCATAGGAACTCTTGACAGGAAAAGGGCACTCACTGAACATGGTCCCACACATGTAGAAGGCAAGGCTGATTTTTGGTAAATATTGCCAGCCTTATCTAGCAGCAGTAGATGTATATTTAATCATTTTATGAGTCACAGGACATTGTTATACTATAGTAAAGCTACACTTGGTTATGAGATCACAGTAGGGAGAAAGATTTAAGCCTGGTCAGGAGTAACTAGAATAGATCCTTGTGAATATCGAATATCAGCCAGCATTGAAAGACAAGTAGCATCTGCATAGGAGCATTTCAGTCAAAGAGTTCATATGTAACCACTGAGTTTACTGAGGTCTTTGAACTTACCTCCTTTAACTTCTCCCCTAACCCTGAAATATAGGTATTATTAATTGCCCCAGTTAATGGATGAGCTAACTTAGACCCAGAGTAAGGCACTATAGGTCACATTATTGATAAATTGAGGTACTGGATTTAAATGCAGGCCACAATCTTAACCACTGCCCCTAGGACATTTTCCATGCCAGTATGCAGAGAGGAAGGGAAATACATGGCCCAGGAGTCATAGCAGATAGATGAGTATGTTTGCCTGTTAACGAATGTATGTATACAGAGAACGCATGTATCTACTTCTTTCATAGAGAGGGGTGAAAGGTGAAGTGGGGATACAGATATTGTTTCTCATAGATCTGTTTGGCTTTGCAATATGGCATCAACTTTAATGGTAGAATTCAACAATTTTGATTATATCTTTTTCTTGAGTTACTAATTGAAGGTTCTCTGCATCTCCTTTTAGGCACCTTTGCCTTGACATCCTTAATATCAGCCAATGCTGTGGAACGGCTAGTCCCTCAAAGCAGCCAGAACCTCACCACGCAGAGCAACTCCAGTGTACTAGGCTTATCTGACTTTGAGGTACAAAGGATTGGAGTTGCTGCAGCTGTTTCCTTCCTGGGAGGTGTGATTCAGGTAAGTAATACTGAGGCTTGAGAAGGCACAAAGGGACCCAGTAGCAAGGGAAGCTCTTGTTCATGGGCTTTTCGAGGTGGATAAAGGGCAGATGTATTTTATCTTCTATATTGTCTACTACCAAGAATAATTACTCTATAAGTGCTGGTTAAGTGAAAGAGCTAGAATCAAGAAATTGAAGTTACAGAGTAGCTGTTGCTGGCTTTTTAATAATGAGCCTTCTAAAAAATGTTTATTAAAAGTGGAATAGGCTTCCTTGGAAGGTAGCCAGACCATCCTTGTTTTCACACAGTGACCAGATTGTCCCTGGAAGGGAATGTCATGATTAAAGTTCCTATAATGGGAAGGAGATGAGATAAGACTCTGAGAATACTTCCCAACATTTTATACTGCCTATGCTAGTTACAAATGGTACTTAGCTTGTGTTACAGGTTTGCTAGTCTAGGTCATCGGACTCAGATCTGGATTAGTTCTTGCCCCTTTCCAAATTAGGTGTGTATGTTAATGCCAAGTTCGCTACAGTCTATTTTTTTCAAAATATTAGACTATGTAATTTGCTGTTTTTAATCAGTGTTCAAAATTAGATAACTCAGACATGACTATTAAATAAGTATAGACAAGGCATTGGATATTATATAGGGAATTGTCTATTTCATAGACACTTTTGCTTACTCCCTCACTGTAAACTGAATTCTATGTACACAAACTTCCCAAATGACTGTTTTCTGGGTTGGTAGGAGCTCTTATTTTACAGTGCCATAATTACAAGGTCAAAGATTATGTAAAGGTCAAGAAGGGAGACAAATAGTTGATTATTGCTTGGAATTGGATGGAAAGAAGAAAGGAGGTGACCTAGAAGAAAGAAAAATAAAACTCTAAGAGTTACATTGCCTTCTAAATGTGTCAAAAAGACTGAAGAATTACGGATGTGAGATGAAATGAGAATAAGAATTCAGGTCTTCACAGTTATGAGAAAAACACACCATCTGAGTAGCATCTTTTTCAAAGAGATGGACCAGTTGGTATTTTCCAAGGCATAGGTCTGGTTGCCTGGGGGTTCTGTAATCTTTGTTTTTTCAAACATGGATGACGTCAAGTGTGTTCCAAGACTTCACAGGCTGGCTGGCTAAGTGTCCCTTTCCTCCTCATTTGGTCTGTGTGAGGCGGTGAAATACCTGTCATCTGTCTTCATTTTATTTATTTATTTATTTTTTTAATCTTAGAAATATATTTGAAACTTTTTACAAAGTGCTATGATTTTTAAAAATATAAAAAGTCTGTAAAATTTATAAGACAAATATTTCAACAGAAAATTGTTCAAAGCACAAAAGAAAAAATGATCAAAATATACATAAAAGAATGTCAAGCTACCAGTATGTAGATATCAATAGATGAATGGATAAAAAAAAATGTCTTCATTTTAGAAATAATCAGCCATGTGAGCTGGTGATTAAACATGGATGTGCTGCATTGGATTGGATATAGGTTTCCCTTAATTTCTGTACATGCAAAATAAAAATGTTTGTACTAAGATGGCAAAGACAATATATTTTCTCCTTGTTCTGTTGCTTTCCATTCATGTTTCTCATTGAATTTATGAGTTATAATAAGTTTCAACTTTCTTTTATTCTATACATCATGGAACAAATAGTTTTAGGTGCATATTACTATATTAAATGTCTATAAGAATACATAATCAGCAAGAAGACCAGGAATGATCTGCTTAGTCTCATTTTAACCATTTTCCTAAGTCCAAAGCAATAATCAGGTGTTTTATTATTTTCTAAGCATATTTGGGGAAGGATTTAAATGATAAAACAGAAAAGTAGAAGCCAGGATTCTAACATAAAAAGTAAATCTCATTTTCCAGACTGAAACTCCCTAGAATTATAAGAGTAATACAGGATATTATTAAAGATAATAAAAATAATTTCATTTTCATGGCCTTTTACTACATGTCAAACCAGATCCAGATAGTTGCATGCTTTCTCTTATAACTTCATCAAACATCTGCTTTTCTTCCCCCGTTAGCTCTGGTCCTGGATATGTGACCTGTGTTTTAGCCAATTTTCTAACAGATGGCTGGACTTTATTTGACCTCCAAACTTATCTGTCCATTGTCATCCAGATCCTTAGAGTCTTTTAGATCTCTTGGATCCAGCTCCTTCTTCAATTTTTCTTTTCCTGCTTATTTGAAATTCACTGACTAGGAGGGAAGTGACTTTGTATCTGAGTTCTATAAACACTGGTGTTGTTTGCTTGTTTGCCTCCTGTTACACTGATTTGTGTGGTATTGTTCTTAAACATCATTTGTTCTCAGGTGTTCCCCACCCCCCAAGACCCAATAGATGAGATAATTTAGGTGAATAAAAATATATGGTTAAGGTGTCTCTAACAATCACATCTGATCTAATCCCTAGAGTGTGTAGGTTAGAAATGCTCTCAAGTAACATATAGCATACTCTCAGGACATTATGCCATACAGACATGAATTGCATTTGGTATTCCAGGAAGTCACAGAAGCAGGGTCTTGAGGGGCTTCAACATCTGGCAACACACCAAAGTGATGAACTTATCTTCTTTTACTGATAATAAGAGTTCTGTGATATATCAGTGCATTTCCTTTTTGGCCTTCTTTTCTTTTGATTCACAAGACCCTCCCCTGATTGTGCTTTCATTTATCCATTTTTCCCTCACACAACTCTGTACTTTTTCACTTTGATGATATCCTTTAATATCATTTTAATGATTTGAGTATGTCTACCTGTTTAATTTTAGCTAGCCTTGTACAGTTTTAGAAGAAAATAATGGCATTCTACTATCTTTCCTATCCCCACATCCAAATTATTTCCCCCCTATGCGTAATTTTTTTTTCTCTCACAGCCTTTAAGATTTCATCTTTATTCTCTGTCATTGTTTTTATAATGTGTCTTGGTGTGAGTCTGCTGTAATTTTGTACATTTGGTGTCCTGTAAGCCTCTTGTATTTGATTTTTATTCCATTCTTTAGGTTTGGGAAATTTTCTGCTATTATATCATTTAAAAGATGGTGTATTCCTTTGGTTTGTATATCCGCTCCTTCCTCTATTCCGATACCTCTTATGTTTGGTCTTTTCATGTTATTCCATAATTCTTGGATGCTCTGTTCATGGTTTCTTACCATCTTCTCTGCATGGTCAACTCTACCTTCAAGATTATTTATTATATATTTGTCTTCATTGTCTGAGGTTCTGTACTCCAAGTGGTCTAGTTGGTTGGTGAGGCTTTCTATTGAATTTATAATTTGGTTTATTGATTCCTTCATTTTGATTAGTTCTGCTTGGGTTTTTTTTTCATGATCTCTTTATTGAAGTAGTCTTTCACTTCCTGTATTTTTTCTTTGATTTCACTCCTTATACTATCCTTTATTTCACATATCAATTTAACTATGTACAATCTGAACTCTTTCTTAGACATTTCTTCTACTGTGTTATCAGTGGCTTCTGTTGTTGAAGTATCTTGGTTGGTTTGGGGCGCTTTATTCCCTTTTTTTTTTTCATGTTGTAAGTGTGTTTTCCCATCTAAAAATATGGATCTAAGGCAGCATAAATTCTACCCTCTAGACCTACAGTGTTCCTGAAGATTTCTAGCTCTTCACCTTTAATGGTGAGGCCAATATCAACAGCATCCAGTGAACACAATATATAGCCTTAAATCTAATAACTCTCACTAAGGCATCTACTGCTTTCTCGCATTAAACCAAAATGATGAGAAAATTTGTTAAAATGGTTTACAACTTCAAATGGTGGATTGAGAGAACAGAGGTAGTGTAATATGCAATATTCGTGAGGGAGGAAGAGAGAAGCTAGAAGTAAAAATTCACAGGAAGAATGAAAGAGGAGCTAACAGAGATGGGCTGTTGGTTAGAGAAAAGTTGGAAAGAAAATCCAAGAAAACAGACAAGAGAGAGGAAGAATATGAACAAAGAGAAAAAATTAAAGACATAAGAATACAACAAAAATGCAAAACAACATTCATGTATCGTTCTCCTCCACCCACTGATGCATAAAAACCATCCTGTTCCAAATATGGTAGAGAGATTAGCAAATCAAAAAGTAAAATAAAATAAAATAATAAATCTTCCTGGAAAGTTGAACAGTCTCTGTCAGTTTTCAACAGTTTCTCAGCCTGTCTTTGACATTTCTGGGGATCACCAAACCCAGATCAGCCCTCGAAAACCCAGTCTCTATCCCACCAATCTGAGCTTCACATACCTCAGGCTACGCTGCAGTCCCAAGATCTCAATGTTGCTCCTACTTGCAGTAAGACCACTAGGGATATACTAATGCAAAGGAGCAACCCCGAGATGCAACAGCAAGACAAGGGCCACCAGCACTCTTAGCAGGAAGATCCCAGTCTCCTCCAGGAGGGAGTCCCCAGATAGAGGTTCTTGTGGTGTTAAACCTGCTGGCATCCGGGCCCCAGGCCCTGGGTGGTGTCCCAAAATGGGTGCAGCCTCATGCACTCAAACTTGGAGTCTCCCCTGAAGCAGTCCTCTAGGCCATGGTAGACGTAGTAGTGGCAGTGGTTGTTAGCTGCAGGCAGCAGGTCAGCAGTAGTGGCGGCTGCAGCGGTGACTGCAACTGCAGCTGTGGGGGCAGCATCACCAGGCTGGGGATCAGCTTCAGTTGCATCCAGGGCAGTGGTGTCTTCTTTGGCAGCATAACCCAGAAAGAAGACCTCCAGGCGACCTCAGGCAGCAGCATGGAATCAGAGGCAGCAGCAATGGTGGTATTGGTGCAGGTGGCAGTTGATTGGCAGGAGACTTACGGTTCAGCGGCAGTGACTATGAAGATAGTAGGAAGTAGCAAGGTAACCGAGGTGGTGCCCAGAGAAGAGACCTCTAGTTCTCTTTCCACAGCAGCAACGTCAGCACCAAAAGTCTTTTAAGAAAAGAGTTTTTAATTTTTATGTGGTTGTGCCTTTCCCTTTTTCAGTTTTGTCAATAATTTCTAGTGCTAT